CGCTTGAATTAACTGCATCAGAGTACAATAGCGGTCCTTGTGTACGCATGCTGTAGATCATAGTGGTGAGGTGGTAAGAATAGTTATTATATCACATTACCAATAAGCTGTATTTGCATGGATTTTGGTCATGGATAGAACATGGCTGGTCTGGGGAGCGGAAGAAGCTCTGGTGACTTTCTCCACAGTGGATAGAGTTATTGGAGTCGGTAGAATTATGTGGAAGAACAAACAGCTCATTATGCCAAACAGAAGGAAAAAAGAGAGGAATGAGTTTGTAACCCCAATCATATCAACAATATGAAAAGTGACAATTACCGGGAGGAATATTGCCACGCTGGAAATATACAAACAACGCGCATATTTAATTATGAAGTGAGCCAGGCTGAGGTCTCATTATGACAGATGCCGGGTAGAGGCTGTGTAATGAGAGATCACAATATGCAATCTCCCTTCCCTGGCACTGCCCACCTTACACTACCCCTCTAATTACCAAGTCATTACAATTCCTTGTTTTCATTAACTCGCTGTAATAACCACAGTAATTAACACAGCTTAGGCACCTCACATATTATTTCATGTCCACATCCATTTCTTTCTCTCTTCTGCTCTACATGGGTAATTAATGTTAGAAGAAAAAAATCAAAATTTAACGCAAGCAGTCATCTAGTGGGTACAAGCGGGATTATGACGTTTGCATTGTTATAAACAAATACATTTAAAAGTCCAACTGAAGGTTCAGCTTAAAATCAGCTAAATACATTTCAGATGCATCAACAAGGGGTGTTTAAAGAAAAACTTTATTAACCCGTGCAGTGGGGCTACCCCCACATTGCAAGGGCTAAATGCTCATTTGTGTCTAGGGAGAAAGATAACGAAGATATAATCACCCGAAGCTCCAAGTCAGCCAGCTGTCACAGCGCCTGTCTCCTCCTCCACAGCAGCATTGGAATCTTCCTCAGCACCCTCACGTCCTATACACTGAAGAGATAGTCGCCCGCACACCATGGTCCAATGCACCAATACGTCTTTTATTTGACAGCATGACGACCAGCCGCTATGCTATTTGCCTGATGAAGGGACCTCGGTAGGTTCCGAAACGTTGCTCATACTTGTGATGCTATGTGTACCTGCCGTCAATAAAAGGACCTATTGATGCATTGGGCCTTGGTGTGCGGCAGGGACGTGGAGTCAGGGGAGCCTCACCTAGTATTATGTAGGAAAAAGCTGTCAGCTTCAAGTCTGAAGCTGACAGCTTTTTTCTCCATTCAGATCGGCTTGTAACAGGTTACAGAGCAGGGAAATCTTCGCGCTGTGTAAACTGTCATGGACGGAGTGCTGGATGTTAATTACAGGCAGCGCTGCATCCGGCTTTTGACAGGTAGTTAGGTTACACAGCAGCGGGCTTCCCCACTGCTTGTGTAACTAAACTATGGAGGAAAGTGCTGACACAGCCTCTACTCTTTGTGTGTGTGTGGATGGTTTGGACCAATGGAATAGTGCCATTGGTCCAAGCTGTCCAATCAAAAAAAGAAAAAAAAAAAAAACACTGAGGCCATCGATCTCGATGCCTCAGCAGTGACCAGCAAGTGAGGGACACGGAGACTCCTCCCTATCTCCTCCCTTCCTCCTTCACACTAGCGTGGGGACCGGGTTGAGGGCATGGCTTCGGTCGGCAGACGCAGGGCTTCGTTTGGCGGGGGCAAGGCTGGGGAATACCTCACCCAGAACCAGAGGTATCGCACGTCACTATTGTGCGGGTGACTTCTCTCGCTCTTCTATGTTTGACTTTGTGCAATGCCAAACGCACGTCATTCCAGCATCCTTCTACAGTCTACAGTAGGATTCCGGTCTTGTGTGCAATGGGATATCCATTTATTGTACACTGTGTATAGAACACGATTGCAGAGGAGTGGGAGAGAGGCTTTAGGGACCGGTCCAAGAGCAAGCCAGCTCAGAGGATTTTTTTAACCTAGACACAAATGAGAACTTAACCCTTGCAGGGGGCAGCCCCACTGCAAGGGTTAATAAAAAAAATCCTGGAGTTCTTCTTTAATGTCTTACACTTTTCCTTCAAAACCAGTCCAAAACTGTCTCAGAGTAGAAAAGCCTGAGCCCTGGTTTGGGACCACTGCACTCTAAGGGGAAGCAGTGATCCCTCTGCAGCGGTTCAAACACACTACCAGCTGAGACCATATGCTAAATAATAGTGGTCATCCCCAACCCCAGCCCCCACTGCACCCTAGCCCCATGCTAATGGGCAGGCGGGTAGAGTGCTCTGGGAACAGAGTTCCCTATGATGACATGACTGTCCATATTTGGACTTAGGCCAAAGGTGAGCAATGATGTCAGGGAAACCCATTCCCCACATTTCCATGGACACTTAAAACAGGGAACTTCCTTACTGCTCAAACATGCTCATCTCCAGTTAAAAAATTAATTTAAAAAATAAATAAATAAAATGATGTGCCCTCTCCACCCATCCCTAGTTATTTGTAAACAAATGAACTAAAGCCCCAGTTAATTAGCTAAAACCTGCAGTCATGTGACAGGTCACATATGACATCACTACAGGTGAGACAGTAACAGGAAGTGGTCTTCAGAAAGAGTAAGTGGTCCTCCTTAGTATGAGTTATTAGCTGGCCTTAAATGCAACTACCGAATGCTGCTCTCCAAATCCTAGAAGAATCTTGTTTCTTTTGTTTTTAGGTTATTGAATAGCTAGCAGTTGGGGGATTTGGAATTCATTCTCCGTAGGGTGGCTTCAAAGTGCACCTGTTATAAAAGAAAAATGTGGGCTGCAATTGTTGGCCTCCTTTAGACCTGGCATAAGCATGGTCTCAACTCTATGATTGTTCCAGATACTATCACTCCGTGACAGTAACCATACTAAAGCCAAAGCCCCTGAATGACAGCCAGGCAGCCAGTATTTTCAGGAGCAGTTGAACTAAAAGTGGTAAAACTCAACAGAACAGGGTGCTAAAATTCAAATTGGAATTTTGCTTTAAATCAGCTTATTTCGGGTGCAACAAAAGGTGTGCAAAGTTACAGTTCGTTTTCCTTGTAAATGAAGCCACATCTCAAGTACAAAGACATGCCCCCTGCCAGCATGCTGTACAGAAGGAGCCTTGCTCTCTGTGGGGAAGTAGTGATCTCTCCGGAGAGGCCCCAAATGCTAGGTGCAGAGTCCGAACTACAGCTGGTTATTCAGCTAGGTCAGACCTCTGCAGGAAGACCACTGCTTGCACACAGAGAGGAAGGGTCCTTCTCAACAGCAGCATTTCTCAACCTTATTTCAGTCTTTGCAACCTTGAAAGGAAGGAAAATCTCGAGGCACCCCATTCTAAAATGTTAACTTAAATGTAAAAATGCAAAAAACAAAGTGTGGCCACTCCAAAATCAATACCAGACCCCTTTTTCCAGATAGGGGTATGGTATAGATATTAAGGGAAAATCACACACAAAAGCATATAAAAGTGGGGTTTCCACCCTTCACATCCAAGACACCCCTTTACAATAGGATCCCCCTTCATGTCAGGAGCCCTCTCCTTTCACATCAGAGTTCTTCCCCCTCACCATTAACCTCAGAAGACCTCCTTTACAATAAAGCCCCCTTTTTTTCACATCAGAGTTGTCCCCCCTCACACTAGGACTCACCATTCACATCAGAAGACCTCCTTTACATTAGAGCTCCCTTTTTTCACATCAGAGGCCCCCCTTTCATACCAGAGTCCCCTCCTTTCACCTCAGAGTTCTTCCCTTCAAACGAAGAACCCCCTTCACATTAGAAGCCCTCTTCACATCAGAGTCCTACTGTTAGGATCCACAGCGCCTCCAGGTGGCGCTGGAGCTAAGTCCTGCAGTTCCTGTGCTCACCTGCAGGTGTCTCCGGGCAGCCAGGAACTGTTAGGTACCAGACCACCACTGGGTGGTGCTGGAACCTGCAGCCAGTGCTCACCTGCGGGTGTCTCCCAGCTGTCGGCACTTAGCCAACACCTGGTGCTTCCTGGGAGGGTATTTATACCCTCGCCGCAGTCAGGACTAGGGCTCAGTATCCTGTTATTATTTCCTGTGTATCCCGAGTCCTGAGCCCTGTTGCCATTAACGGCTTGTAGTCCTGTTGCCATTAACGGCTTGTAGTCCTGTTGCCATTAACTGCTTGTAGTCCTGTTGCCATTAACTGCTTGTAGTCCTGTTGCCATTAACTGCTTGTAGTCCTGTTGCCATTACCTGCTTATAGTCCTGTTGCCATTACCTGCTTATAGTCCTGTTGCTGTCACCAACTTCCAGACCTAAGTCCTGTTACCTACCTGTACCCTGACACTTTATCCCTTGGCTCCCCTGGTCATGCCTGTTATATTTTGAAGGTGTTCGTGGTTCTATTTGGTTGGTGTCACATTACTTATTCTTGCTTGCTTTTGGGGGTTTCATTTGGTTTTGCTGGTTACAAATAAACTGTATATAACACATTTGCTTTGTCCGGCGTGGTCATACGTGTTTGGTCTTCCCGTGTGGGTACACCTGTGCACGGACCCGTGACACATACCATTACATTAGCATGGCAGAAAAATGGGAGTCAGAGCAGGCCTGGGCGGAGGCTAACATTTCTAAATTGACTGGGCCACCCCAAAGTCAGAAGTCACCCTGGTTGAGAAAGACTGCTCTCCAGCATGCTGGACGGGGAACTCAGGTTGTGGCTACTTACTGAAGAAAATTAACTGTAACACCTCGCACACCTTTTGTTTTGATGCAACTGAATTGTACAGTATTTCGCTGATTTAAATAAATGTTAATTGGTATTTAATTCCTTTCACAGGAAGCTTAGACTGGATGTCACTCTCAGTTACAGTCCCAGTTTCTGGCTGTGAAAAGGCAGACTGAACAGCAGCACAGAGGTGCCCATAGTTTTCATACATCACAACCCTCCTGATAAACATTTAACAGACCTTCAGGTAGACTTTCAATAACATTTTCAATAAAAAAAAAATTAGAAAGCTCACCAGGTATCTCTGGAGCTCGGACAAGATTCACCATGTAATCATCTTTGAACGCTTGTTCTAACACATGTCCCAGTATTGCCGCACAGGAACGCCAATATGCCTGAAAGCCAGGAAAAAAGAATTAGGAATCCCATTACTATCATTCAAAAACACTCACTGTTCCACCTTACCCTGTAAAGATCTCCGAGCTGCTCCACATAAATATCAGAAGGATATATTAGCAAATGTAGACATAAATCAACATACAGCCTTAAAAATAAATATTACATACACATTAGTAGAATGAAAAACTACATGTGCACACTCTGCAAATACCTGTGAACAATCTACTCAATAAATCAGTAAAATGTATCACATAGAAACAAAAAAAGGTAAAATGTCTCCATCAACCACTATTTTCAGTCTCTGAGGAGCAAGTGAACAATCCACATCCAAAACTCCCCATGGCTATTCTTCACAAAATGCTTAATTGGGCAGGTGCTCTGTAGTACACCGAGGAGAACTGATAAAATAGTTTGAGATTTCCGTTTTGTGCGCAGGAAGTGACAGCTTAGTGCAGGGGTGCACAATAGGTCGGTCGCCATTGCAAGTTTGATTTGGCTGCTCCGTTTATCTGGGAGCTCAGCTGCTGCTGACCGGGTGCCGTTCTCTGACTTGGCCGAGCCCCTGCCACAGAAAGCTGTGCTGCACAGAGTTCAGGGTGTCGCTGCTCCACTCTGGGGATGCCAGCGAGCGGGGCCCTGGGGCCACACACATCAGACACAGTCTAGGGCCGGGTAAGCGGTTCTCTTTATCAGAGGGAGGTGGCATTGTGTACCGCAGGCTATGTATATGTAAATATGTATTTGTGTGTGGAGAGGGGGAGGGGGAGGGGAGAGTGGGATGGAGAGAGAGGGATGGAGAGAGAGGGATGGAGAGAGAGGGATGGGAGAAAGTGTCCAATATATCCAATGCTCTTTAGTAATAAGTGAAATAAGTAAATCCATATATTTAACTACTCAAACTCATCACTGTGATCCAAGACCCAACATAAGAAAACAACAACAACCACTCCGTGTTGTGTTCCATGCTGTAATCCACCTCCAGTGAACAAGTGACAAAACATGCAATTTGATGACCACTTTTTAGAGTGTGTTCATCACAATCGCACCTACCCTGTGTTCTGTTGCGGGAGGTGCGTTGCGATGCCATTCGTTGGTAGATCTCATTGTTCTGGTCATATAAAAAGTAGATCTTAACACAAAACATTGTGGGCACCCCTGAATTAGTGCATACGTTTCTGGCAGGATCTTCCGGTATGTATCTGAACTGCAGGTAAAGTATACTCATCACTGTGATCCAAGACCCAACATAAGAAAACAACAACAACCACTCCGTGTTGTGTTCCATGCTGTAATCCACCTCCAGTGAACAAGTGACAAAACATGCAATTTGATGACCACTTTTTAGAGTGTGTTCATCACAATCGCACCTACCCTGTGTTCTGTTGCGGGAGGTGCGTTGCGATGCCATTCGTTGGTAGATCTCATTGTTCTGGTCATATAAAAAGTAGATCTTAACACAAAACATTGTGGGCACCCCTGAATTAGTGCATACGTTTCTGGCAGGATCTTCCGGTATGTATCTGCACTGCAGGTAAAGTACTTAGCCTAGGTTCGGTTTACTTTCAGACCATGTTATACCCGTATTCAAGCTGTAACGTGAAATAAGGTCAGGTTGCAATTTCCCTTTAAATAGGAAACGCAGCCACCACATCTAAGAACCGGTAAGCTGCAATGTAGAACAATTTTGTTCCTGGGTTTAGACATACTTTCAGCTACTGCTAAATCTGATACACATTGCACTTGTTTACTGCTGGAAGAAATACTGAAAGCTTTGAAAGTCGGGGAAGAAAAAAGCTTTTCAGCAAGAGGTTCAATGTAAAGAAGCGGTGTTCTACACAGCTGGTAAACAACGCGCCACTTAGCGTGTGGCGAGATGGTAATCCATAGCTGCAGACTGTGATGTTCACTGGAAATGAAAAGCCCCAATCCTCAGAATGAATTAAGAACTAAATGAGAAGCTGGTTTCCTCCTGTTCATCACTAAATGTGCTCAGACAAATACCTCTCAGGTGTACATATTTACCATTAAGACTTCTATAATTAAAAAGCATATATGTGTTCAAGCACAATCCACCTTACTCATCTGAAATCTAAAGTTATTGTTCCTTACAGGTGTCCTCCATCTGTAAAAGCAAAAGTCAGCGTTGGTGCAACGTCTCTAATCAGCATATAAATACTTGTCCAAACAAGGCCCCGGGAGCCCCTAGCCAATAAACTGCACAAAGGAAGGCTTATTGGAAGAAGGTTTGAAGCTGAGCAATCTCACCGGTGATCTGTGTCAATCTGACTGTTGTATTGATTATGGAGAACGGAGGAAAGAGAAGTCGTGTTCCTAGTATGGATCGGTTACTAATTCCTCCTATTGATGCTTTATGCTTTTTTAGGACAGACAAAGAGAGTGCAGCCCCTAAGCTCTGCAGGCATAAAGAGGCACAGCATGGCCTTCCAAGTTCTACTATGCATGGACACACAGTGAAAACTAAAAAGGCACCCAGGCGCGACGTGAAAGAGATGTGAGAGATGAAAGATGTCCAGATACGGTGAAAAATCTCTCATCTGTGGGTGCAGCAGAAACCCAGGAGCCAACTACTCTCAGGGTGAACAGTTCACTGGACAGGTCGAAAAGCCCAACCAAATTACTATAGCTCCCCTTGATATGCCAGCACAGGTAGTGTCCTGTCAACAAAGCTTAAAGTGACACTAAACTCAGGAGTTAAATCTTAAAAATGCATTCAAGTACCTTAACTATTAACAAAAATGTATCTTATATGTGTATCACTCGGCTGTAGAGCCTCAAATCATCTCTGAATTCATACTAACACTGTCCTTTCTAGAGGGTGGCTACTTCTGTTCCCCATGGTCCTTATGTGTTTTGTAGAGTAGTCATCGCTCCAAGCTCAGTTGAATGATAGACTACAATCTCAATACAAATTAATAAACTATTTTGGTCCATTGCGGGAATGAGCTTGGAGTGGTGGCTACTTTACAACACAAAATTATACAATAAAATGCATTCTTTGCCATGCTTTGTACCAGAAACATTTTAGTGTATTATATCTACTGCTTGTTAGCAGTAGATATAGGCAAAAAAAAAACTGAGGGTTTAGAAACCCTTTAATACTTACAGTAAAACTGCTTTCTTACTGCTGGTCAAAACAGAAAAAAAACTTTTTTTCTTTTATTGTATATCTTTTTGTCCATAGATAATAAAATAAAAGTATAGTTGTCAACCCCTTACAAAAAAAATGTATGCATTTATTAATATCTTAAGTATTGACAAAGTTATCACTAAATAAAAAAGCATTTTATTTGGTACACTGTAAAATAAAATAGCAATAAATAAAACACCTTGTTTTTACACTTTTGTGCATTTGTCAGCCTATAATTAAAAAAAAAAAAAAAAGCAAAAACAAGGTTTTTTTATTTTAACAGTGTACCAAATAAAATGCTAATTTTCCTAAAAAAAAATATTTAGCTAGGCAAATTAGTCACAGAGATATAGTCAAGTTAACAGACCCATACTGACTGATGAATTTGGTCTGGGGATTTAGGGCTTCAATGACCTCTGCGAGCAAAAGGGTTAAACGGATTTCAGAAGATATGAAAGAGGGCAAAAACAAACATAACCACATAATAAGTGTGTGCCTTCCACCAAAGGTAAAACATCTGTGCTATCTCTATGAAAACACTGAAAATAAAGATTTACTGACCTTATTGACTTCTTCTGGATCTTCATCGCTGAAGGTAAGGAACTGGATATTACAGGATTTAGTGAGAGGTTTATACATATCCCAAACCTCGCCGTCCACCACTGCCAACACAGACTTGTCGCAGTACCATTCACTGAGATCTGGAAAGACGCATTAAAAATAAAAGCATGACATTTCCCCACACAGAAAGGTGAATTATCATGTATTCTGACACATTAATCACGTTCTATGGAGGAAGCTTTTTACAAACTCCAGACCAAATCTGCTACATAAAAGCCTAATTCTCTTTGCTTTTCATCAGAATGCTTATCATGCGTTTTTAGAAGAGCCACTTAAAGCAAATCTTTCCTAGAACTATGAGGGCTGCCAGTGCCAACTTTGTTCTGAAAATGCTAGTTGTGTGGCTCTTATGCTAGTTGTGTGGCTCTTATGCTAGTTGTGTGGCCCTTATGCTAGTCGTATGGCCGCTATGCTAGTCGTATGGCCGCTATGCTAGTCGTATGGCCGCTATGCTAGTCGTATGGCCGCTATGCTAGTCGTATGGCCGCTATGCTAGTCGTATGGCTCGTATGCTAGTCGTATGGCTCTTATGCTAGTCGTATGGCTCTTATGCTAGTCGTGTGGCCTTTATGCTAGTCGTGTGACCCTTATGCTAGTCGTTTGGCCCTTATGCTAGTTGTGTGGCCCTTATGCTAGTTGTGTGGCCCTTATGCTAGTTGTGTGGCTCGTATGCTAGTTGTATGGCTCGTATGCTAGTTGTATGGCTCGTATGTTACGGTAGTTGTATGTCTCGTATGCTAGTTATATGGCTCGTATGCTAGTTGTATGGCTCGTATGCTAGTTGTATGGCTCGTATGCTAGTTGTATGGCTCTTATGCTAGTTGTATGGCTCTTATGCTAGTTGTGTGGCCCTTATGCTAGTTGTGTGACCCTTATGCTAGTTGTGTGACCCTTATGCTAGTTGTGTGACCCTTATGCTAGTTGTATGGCTCGTATGCTAGTTGTATGGCTCGTATGCTAGCTGTATGACTCTTATGCTTACTTTATGGCTTCAATGCTTCCTTGAACATGTATGCAGGGCAGGAAATCAGAAAAAGTCAGAACTTGCTCTGGGTTAGTCAACTGAGGGCCGGTTCACACAACAAACTTCGCGTTACAGTGCGTTCGGGCCTCTGGAATGCACGCCGGCCGGCTCCCTACGTTCAGGGGTGTGGCGGTGGATTGAAGTCAATGGTACCGCAGCCACGCCCCCTGCCCGCAGTGTGATTTCCCGCACCCGGAACACAGACACGTTAGTGTCTGCGTTCCGGACCAGTGCGCTCTGCAAAAATAGTGCTTGCAGTATTTTTGCTTAACACACTCGACCGGAACGCAGACACTGTGTCTGTGTTCCGGGCGATTGCAATGCGGGTATGGGGGCGTGGCTGTGGTGCCATGCAAGCCACGCCCCCTCCTGAATGCAGGGAGCTGACCGTCTTGCGTTCCAGAGGCCAAAAGCGCTGGAATGCAGACTTGGTGGTGTGAACCGGCCCTGAAGCCAGAAGGTCCGGATGACTACTAGCAAGTAACTAGCATTTTCGGAATGAAAAGTTAGTAATGGCAGCCCCCATGGTTCTGTCAGGAAAGGTTACCCTGGTGACCCTGTCACTATACAAGGTACTATGTATGTAAAAGACAACTCTTAATACTTGTATCAAAAGACACTAGCAAAAATAAATGGGACTTTCAAGATAGCAATAATCATTGATGTTATCTATAATATGTAAAAAATAACATGTATCATTATATAGTAAAACATGACGTTTACTTGCAATCGCATCACAGTGGAACTCACGGCATTACAGTACCACGCGTTCCAGTGCGGGCGATTACACTGCAGGCGGGAAGAGCGTTTGGGGTGCTATTGAAATGAATGGCAAAGCACATCCCGCAGCAGAATTTGACAGGCTGAAATCAAAAACTAACTTTTTTCCCACTTTTTAAAAAAAAATAAAAAAAAATTCTTAAATAATTGTTTGTATTATATTAGACATTTTAATTAGTTTCATGGATTTAAAATAATCTGAATTGTATAACTCTAAGCCAATATAATAAAATAACCAAACTTTTATTTAAAATAACACAACGCAATTGGACAAAATAACATTTTATATATTTTTTTAATATTGGCCCCAGAATTATTGCTCTCGCTCTGGCATATGCGGTGATACCCAATATGTGTAGCGCAGTCGTCTCCTCTGCTGATTGACAGCAGGCAGGTACAATAGCCAGCTGGCAGAACAAGGGGCACAGGGCACTGCAGCAGAGGGACAGGGGCAGTAGAGGAGGATCGCGGGCAGCATCGGAGGCACAGAGGAAGCAGAGGAGGCACCAGAGGAGGATCACGGGCAGCAGTGGGGGATTGCAGAGGCACACCAGTCTATACTCCCCGCTGGGTGCCGGCTGCAGCGCTCTGTGTCCCCTCTGATCGAAGGGGACACAGACAGCAGTATGCAGCGGCTACAAGTGAGGAGAATGCAGGAGCAGAGCAGCTGAGGCAACTAATCGAAAACCAACTAATCGATAATGAGAATCGTTGACAACATTATCTTTTATTATGGATCCAATCGATAGGTTGCTGCAGCCCTAATATATACACACACTGTGTGTATGTGTATATCTCTCTCTATATCTATCTTAATCTATCTTGTCCACCACAAACTGTTTACATATATGACCACCTCCACACAGGAATTCATCAGCATAAATCGCATCAATATATCATTGTGTTGCATATTAAATTGAATCATGATTCTGTAAATGATAGGATAGCTGGTTCTCAACACGTTTTTCTGCATATAGCCCACTTCCTCAGCAGATATGAGGTGGAGAGGTGAATGCCACCATAAAAATGGCCCCTGAAGTCCGCTGGGAAACCAACACTTCCAGGAGAGTTAATCTCCTGGATCCCCCCATAGCTCTCAGTGGTTCCTTCTACTGATCTCCACTGTTATAAAAATACAGCAGTGAGGGGAAAATCACTGAGAGCTGGGGGGGCCCCAAGAAGATCGACCCTCCCAGAAATGTTGGTTGCCCAGTGGACCTCAGGGGACCAATTCTTAGGATCAGAGCATTCATCAATGTGGGCAAGGCAAGTAGTTACTGTGTTTTATGGATGTGACCTACCTGAAACTCTTTTGCACGGTGATAGGGTCGCTTTAAAAAGTTTAGCAAAATATATAAATATATATGTTTTTTAATTTGCTCACACATTGTCTGCTTTCAATTATAAATTTATTTTATAAAGTTATTATTAGCATGACAAGGGAAGTTGTGATTGCAAATGGTATAAAAAATAAAAATAAAAAAAAGGTGAAAAAAGACAGCCAAGGGAGAGGAAGAAAAGAAAACGGCACTCCGAGGAAACCTCCTCCTTTCTCTCCCTCCTCAAAGAGAATCAATTGTGTCATTTGCAGCAAAAAAAAAAATAAGATTTTGCTGTAACATTTTAATGCCGGAATATTTGATCCCCAAACCATGGCAAATCTGAGTGCAGATGATGGAGATATCAGTGCAGTAGAATACCAATTCAGACTTTTATAAACAAGCCGCTAAGCTGTCTGATTGGGAATAAAAGCATAAAGCACTCCAGTCCTGGTCTTATCTGCTGAAAGCGTACACAAGGTCAGCAACCAATAGACAATGGAACGCCATGCGTCCTGCCACTGAACATTGGGAGATCGGTGCATTAAGAACAAAACAATCAATTTTAATTATGTTGGGGCACCTGACAAAACAAGATTAATTGTGGCTATCGATATTCAGAGAGGCCCACCTCGCTCCCTACTAGGACACAAATGTACATTTTAAATAACAACACTGTAATCTGGCAGCAAAATCAATACAACGTAAGACTTCTGAATGGTCTTTATTAAATAACAGAAGAGGTGCCGGGTGCCCATGGAGGCCCACCATGCAGATTTATGGGAGCCTCCCACTCTCCCTCTGAAAGTCATAATTGTTGGACTTGTTATTTTGTAAAGAAAAGCTCAGTTTTCCTTATTTTCAGAACAAGCCAACATTTCCTATTATTGTAATTATGAGCAACAGTAAACTGGAAATCTCAACCCAAAGTGCACCGCTGGCTCCATACAGCATCATAGATCACTGCTATTGGATGTTTAATCAACGCAATGATTAAACTTTTTATGGACTCTAACATCCGTTGTGGTCTGGCACTCTTCGGTTTCCTGTCCCTGGAGGGACAGTAATTAAAATAAATTCTAAAACAAGTTCCCCCACAAAGTTAACTATGTTTTTTCCGTTCACTAGAGAGTTGCAGTAGTTAAAATAAAACTATGGGGTAAGTGTTATTCCCCATAGATCTCTTAAGGGTCATGGAAGGACATATACTAACCTCCTTCCGTGACCCAAAGCTCAGTATATAGCGGGCTATTGTCTGCAAGATACTGAGAGCGCCACAGCTGGGATTGATCCCGACAATACTGTCGAGATCCACCCAGCTGTGTGAGTGACAGCTGGCTCTACCTATCTAGAGGCAGAGCCAGCTGTGCCCGCCCCCTCCCCTGTTTGTTCTTCCACTCAGCACTGGAGGATCGGATAGGGGAGGTGGGGGAATCCCTGACAGTCACAGCTCACTGCAGGGAGATGAACGGGAAGTGAGCGGATTGGCTGCAAGTTTCTGCTCACTTCCGGATCAATAGAGCCTCCCCATGACAGCTTCTTTGTCACAGGTCGGCTATGAGGAGGAGTGGAAATCACTCACATTATAGTTCTCCTTTACAGAAATGAACATTAAAGTCCCAGCATATCCTCTCCCGTTATAACATCAGCATTGTAATAGGAATACATACTAGAGTTGGTTTTGATAATACAATGAAAGCGTACTTGAAGAAAAAAAAAACAACCTTTTATGTAGTGAGTGCCGCCTGCCGTCTGCCCATCACTTCCAACAACTTTTGGAGTCCCGGTGCTTTGCGTCTCTTTCCCTGCTGCTTGATGTGATGCAATCTCCATTTCTCAACCCATCATGCATTGCTTTCAGTAAGCAATGCTAATGTTACATTGTGCAGATGTTGAGTTGTAGTTCTGGCTCTGAGTATGGTGACACAAGGAAGTGCATATTCACAGGGCGGAGTGA